AAATATAAATATATAAAATATTTTTTCTCTTTTTCCTGTATTTATGTCAGGGACTGTGCCCAGAGTGGTCCAGTGACAGATGTAACATTCATGTTCTGGGCTGTTTTGGCTTCATTGTTGCCACTTTGTCCCAGCTAATGCCAGGTAGTTCCACTCTTAGGCCTCTGGGAGAAGTGAAAACCAGCCTCTGAGAAAGAAGCACTGTGGGAGGGTTCTGGTGAACAACATCCCAGTCAGAGGGAATAAGCAGAAAGATCCCCAGGAGGACAGGAATGAGTTAGTGTGATAGGAGAGAAGGCCAGGCTGAGAGCAGGAGGGATAAGAGGAAGCCGACCTAGGCCGATCTTGTGGAGGCTTTTGAGGCTTTGGAAGAACACTTGTATTCCATTCTAAGGCATTGTGTAGACATTGAAACTTTTTCCTAATAGCTTGCAGCAGAAGCAGAGATGTATGCTTCAGAAAACTAGAAAATACAAATAGAAATGAGAAAACAAAATATGAACCTGGTGTGGTAGTATGCACCTGTAACAGCAGTGCATGGGAACTGGAGCCAGGAGGTCCAAGAGTTATCCTCAGCTACATAGCCAGTTCAAGACCAGCCTAGGCTACATGAGACTTTGCCCCCCTCAAAACAAACAAACAAAAAAAAGACTTGTCACCAGAGTTATGTATGTTCTTTGAGACTTTTTTCTGTGCATCTACTTCACACTTTCTAAAATGAAAGCATTGAATATATTTGTTACCTCTTTAAGTCCATTATTTCCATTTTTCCATGCCAGTCAGTTTTGATGACAGTGAATTTGATCATTCTCAGTTTCCCTTAGTTATACCCCAAATATTATTCTTTTCTTGTTTTTGTTTTTGAGGCAGAATCTTGCTATATAGTAACCCAGCCTGTCCTGGAACTCACTATATCACTATGTAGCCCTAGCCTCAAACTCACAGTCCTGCCTTTGCCTCCCAACTGCTGTATCACCAAAGTCTGTTCCCCCAAAATATTCTTTATAGTTGTTTGGCCCACCTTAATATCCAGTTTCTTACCAAGTATTACTATCTGGACAATATGTTACTTCAGTGTTGTCTAATCTAGCACAATCCACTCCTATTATTAATACTGGCTTGTTAAAGAAACCAGACTTACTGTTCATGCTCATTTTCTGGATTTGTCAGGCTGCTTCTCAATGTATCATTTAGCTTGTGCCTCTGGCCTCTGTGTCTCTTATGAACTGGCCTCTGTGTCCCTTATGAACTGGAATGTGTATTTAAAGGCTCGGTAGTTTCATCCTATATACTGGAATTTATTCTAGTAATTCAATGTTTTCAGTTAAATATTTTTGGCTAGAAGATAAGACTATGTCCCCTTCATATTGTATCACACACATAATCTGGATGATCTACCCTAAGCAATGCTAAGACTGCAGACCACTGGACTGAGGGCACCCTCCATCACGTGGTACTTTTTCTCCACTAGCTGAACAATAGCTGTACAAGGAGTTCCGCATTTCACACTAGTGATTTTAATACCAATTAATAATCCTTTCCTAAATCAATAATTGCATTAAAATTTACTGATACCCCCTTTATTTTTTCATCCTTCCCATTCTTCTGTGACGTGAACTCTGCCCTGCCCTCCTCCATCTAAGGCTATTTGGTTATCATAAAAGATGATTTTAGCCAGCAAGGTGGCTCAGTGGGTAAAGGCACCTGCCACCAAACCTTGATAACTTGAATTCTATCCCGGGGCTTATGTGGTGGAAAGAGACAATCAACTCCTGCAAGTTATCCTCTGATCTCCTCCACATTTGTGCACACACACTCACTCATACATGCACACAAAATAAATTTTATTTTTGTTTTATTTTATTTTTAAATTTTATGTGTATGCGTGTATTGCCTGCATGTAGGTAAGTGCACCCATGTCGTGCAATGCCTGCGGAGATCAGAAGAGGCTGCCTGATCCCCTGGGACTGGAGTTATGGACAGTTGTTAGCTGCCATGTGGGTGCTGGGATTAAAACCTGGGTCTTCTGCAAGAACAACCAGTGTTCTTAACCGCTGAGCCATCTCTCCAGCCCCACAAAATAAATAAATTTAATTAAAAAAAGATGATTTGCTGGGCGTGGTGGTGCACGCCTGTAGTCCCAGCACTTGGGAGGCAGAGGCAGGCGGATCTCTGTGAGTTCAAGGCCAGCCTGGTCTACATAGTGAGTTCCAGGACAGCTGGGCCTTACAGGGAGACCCTGCTTCAAAAAGACCAAAAAAAAAGATGATTCTTACTGGGAAAGCAAGATAATGCTCATTCTTTCCCTTTAGTAACCACTGTTCAAGGTGGGGTATTATCCTAGATGTCATCACAAATGGTTACAAACAGCTTCTTTTCCTTTTTTAAAAATTTTTTATTTTATTTTATTTTTATTTTATGTGTATGAGTGTATGTAGTGAAGGATAACCTTAATCTTCTATACAAACAGCTTCTTTTCCTTTTTTAAAAATTTTTTATTTTATTTTATTTTATTTTATTTTTATTTTATGTGTATGAGTATATGTAGTGAAGGATAACCTTAATCTTCTGATCGTTTTTGCCTTTACCTCCCAAGTGCTGGAATTACAGGTGTATACCACCATACTCAGTGCATGCAGTCCTAATGATCAAATCCAAGGCTTCATGCATGCTAGGCAAGCATTCAACCAACTGAGCTATATTTCCTGCCCAGCAATATTTTTTGTTGTTTTTGTTAGTTGATTTTTTTGTTTGTTTTTTTTTTAAAGACAGAGTTTCCCTATAGCCCCAGCTAGCCTGGAACTTGCTGTGTAGACCAGACTGGCCATGATCTCACAGAGATAGGCCTGCTTCTGTCTCCTTAGTGCTGGGATTAAAGTCCTGTACCACCTTGCCTGGCTCAGCATTATTTTTCTTTGTGTATTGGGGGTTAGGTTGGGCAAAAAGGCAGGTGTATTAAAAATCTCCCTGCCTGCTCTGTGAGGAATGGATTATTTTTGTTTGTTTGAGGCAGGATCTCCCTGTAGCCCCAGCTGGCCTGGATCTTGCTATATAGATCCCACAGAGATCCACCTGCCTCTGTGTCCTGAGTGCTAGGATCAAAGCTGTATGCCACTGCGCCTGGCAAGAATGAGTTACTAATGGGATATTAGATGACAATAGTTGGAGTAAGGTGGTGGCAGTGCAAATAGAGGAAATGGGACTAACTCAGAATATGTTGTCCTTTGTGATTTGCCATTTAGTGTTGTCCTGTGATTTCATACTAGCGTTCACATTCCAAGGGGCAGAACTAACTGATCATCTCCAGCCCAGTGATTCTGAGATGACTTTCTCATTGACCTTAAGAGTACACATAGTTTGTAGCTTATGACCTTTCCTCCTCTCTCCAGGACCTGATGGTTCGGAATGACTCCCCCTGTGGAACCACCATTGGACCTATCTTGGCTTCTCGACTGGGACTGCGGGTGCTGGACTTGGGCAGTCCCCAGCTGGCCATGCACTCTATCCGGGAGACAGCCTGTACCACTGGAGTTCTCCAGACCCTTACTCTTTTCAAGGTAACTCCCACCCAACCCTCTTCCCCATCACTAAGTGACTGGTCTAGGTGCTAGGAGCTGGTAGCTATGGTGCTGCCATGTAGGAAACAAGAGTCCTTGTGTCTGCTTCCCACCATTCTAACTAAGATGAACAATTCATAAGAAGGAAATGCTTGTTTTACCTCACAGTTTTGTAGGTTTCTATCCATGGTCAGTTGGCCTATGAGTTTTAAGCCTGTGATGAGGCCCAGGCTATCATGGTGAAAGCCTATGGTAGGTGAAGCTACCCTGGGGGTTGTCAGAAAGAAAAAGAGTGATAGGAAGGGACCAGGTCCCAATGTCCCCTTCAAATGTATGTTCCAACCGAGGGAGGACTAACTTCCTCCCTCTTAGGCCCACCTTTTAAATATTCCACCATGTCCCAGTAATGCCACTGGCTGGTGACATATGGGCTTTTGGGGACATTGACCCAAACCATACCATTCCTCATTTTATTTAAGGCCCCAGAGGAAAGTGGTTGGCTGGAGAGGGGATGAGAGATGAGAAGACAGGCCCATGAAGCATAGGAAACTCTGTGCCTCTGTTTTAGGACTGTTGGTGATGGTAGGTGAGTGGTGGGACAGCTCCATCTGATCACTCACTAATTCCCAATCCCATGTTGTCCCCCATTTTAGGGCTTCTTTGAACTGTTCCCCTCTCTGAGCCGTCACCTCTTCGTGGACTGAGGCCTCTTGGTAAGACTTCTCTCTGGCCCTTTTGCACGTGAGAGAGGAGAATCTCAACTGAGCTGAAGCTGGATTATTAAAATGAAAATTTTATTCCAAATCTGTTGTGCTTATTCAGAGCCTGAAGGGTTGGAAATTGGCTTGAATTTCTGAACCAGAGAAGAGGAGGAGGTTGAGGTGCAGGTAGAAAGAAGATAAATTACTAGAAATAAAATTAAGGAGTCAAATGTGTATGCATTTAAAGTGTTGGTAAGTATTGTCATGTTGTCCCTAGGCTCAGCTCACCTCTTTGAGAGCTTCACACCTCTCAAAGCACTTTTATTTGTTGTGATTTGGATTCTCATAGATTTTTTAAGAGGTTAAGATGTAACTATAGCGTGTTCAACCTATATAAGAAATTCCAAGGAGCTAGGTTAGTTTGTGCTAGACTCAGGGTCTCCTCCATGAGAGCCTTTACCATCCCACCAGCTACTTCAATACTGCTAATTGAGTGGAAAAGGGAATAATAAAAACAATCAGTTCAAAAAAGCAAACAAACAAATCAGTTCAGTGTCAGAGGCAGGCAGATCTCTATGAGATCAAGGCCAGAGTAGCCCATGTAGTGAGTTCCAGGCCAGCTGGGGCTACAAGGAGACCCTGTCTCAAACAAAATCAGTCCATTTTGCAGCTTGAGATGGTTTGGCAAAACCATGCATGTATATGTGTGGGCTGTATAAATAGTCAAATTTATTGACTGAATTGAAAAGTATTGACTGGAGAGACTATGGATGTTGATGGCACTATTCTTTCAAATATGTATTTGACTTTTTATACTAAAAATGTGAAGATCATTTTTCAAAATTCCAAAGCAGAGAAGTGAGAAAAAAAGAATGATGAAGCAATAGAAAGCATTTAAGACAGACTGAAACCAAGCTGGGTGTGGTAGTATAGCCTCAATCCCAGGACTTGGGAAGGTAAGGGCAGGAAGATCCAGTGTGAAGCCAGCCTGAGTTACATAAGACAGTAAGAACCTGTCTTAAAACAAAAACCAAAAACCAGAATAAGACAACTATTTCTCAAGGCTGCTATGTAAAAACTACAAAACCAGGGACCAGAGAGATGACTCAGAAGATAGCACTTGCACAAACATAAGGATCTTAGTTTGGGTCTCAGCACTCATGTTAAAAACCAGATATAAGCTGGGCGTGGTAGTGCACACCTTTAATCCCAGCACTTGGGAGGCAGAGGCAGATGGATCTTTGTGAGTTCGAGACCAGCCTTGTCTACATAGTGAGTTCCAGGACAACTGCGGCTACAGAGAGACCCTGTCTCAAAAAGACCAAAAAAAAAAAAAAAAAAACAGATATGGCTGTGTGCATGCCTGTAATCCCAGGACTGTTGTGGACATTAGCAGCTATTGAGGACATTGGCAAGAGGATCACAGGGGCTTGCTGCCCCAGCCTAGCTCTCGATTATAGTGAGAGGTCCTCTGGCCTCCACAAGCACACCCATGTGCATGGGCATGCATGTACAGCACACAAACACAATTTTTTCTCAAAGTGGACTAAATAGTTTAAAAGATTGTCAGACTGAATATTTTGTAAATTATAGTTGTTTTACCCACATGTCTGAAGTCAAGATGGAGGAATGCATGAGACAGCCCTGCTCCTGGCAAACTGGGTAACTTTGGTGCCATAGGTGGTGCACCTTTTAAACAAAGGTCTTTTAAATTCTGCAGTGAGCATAAACCACAGATTATAAGGTGGTTATAGCTGTTAAAGCCAGGGCTCCACAGTTAGGAGGTAGCTTTACGGTTGTGTGTGGGATGGGGGTTTTCTGTTTCCCATGATTGACTGTAGTGTGATTCAAGTCAGAGGAAAAGATCCCTGGAGCACCATTACTAGAGATGCCCTACCAGAGACCATCCTGGCAACAACAAATGGGCCATTGTCCATGGTTGGGATCAGCTGTGCTGTAAAGGATGGCATCTTCTAGCTTTAAGTAATGGAGCTGCTGTCCCATTGACAAGGTTTGTCTCTGCACAATTCCCCAGTGGCCTTCAGTTTGCTGAAGACTTCTCCCAGGTGTCTCTAGGCCAGTTGCTATCCTCACCTTTGGAGATTCAGCCATATCAGTAGGATTTCTTTAACTGTAGAAGTTGTAGTTCAGTAAGGGTTTCAGAAGGAATATAGAGGGAGAGAAGATATGATCGTTTATTCACTTTTGGGTTGATAATTTTTTTTTTTTCTTTTTGATCTGTTTGAGACAGGGTCTCCCTGTAGCCACAGCTGTCCTGGAATTCACTATGTAGACCAGGCTGGCCTTGAACTCACAGAGATCCACCTCCCTCTGCCTCCCGAGTGCTGGGATTAAAGGCATGCGCCAGCACGCCTGGCTTTCAGTTGCATTTTTAACCAAAATAAATGTTTAGTATAACTTAAAGGAAGAAATATAAGTGTTTAGAAGATGAAGGACCAAAGGTCAAATAAGAATCCTAAGCATCATTTCCTTAGTGATGTCTCTGACTAATTTTTGAGTACAGTTATTTAGACAATAAAAGCTCCTGGAACTTAATCATTCTTTAAGAAAATTATAGCTGTTTATGAGACACACCTAAAATAAAAAGGTTGACAAATGCAATGCTGGTCTGTTTTGTGTTGGTTTGGTTTTTGAGACAATTTTACTGGGTAGCCAGCTCAGTCTGGTCTCAAACTTGTGATCCTCCTGCTTCCACCTTCCAAATGCTGGGATTATAGACGTGCACTGATCTGTTTTTGAATATCACAAATTTCATGGTTGGAAACTTACAATACTTTATCTTCTGACTTTTTTTTCTTTTTCTTTTTTTCCCATCAGTCTTGCTGTGTTGCCCAGACTGGCTTTGAATTCTTGCTCCTCCCTTCCCCTTCCTCAAGCTCTGGGATTATAAGTGTGCATCATCAGGCCTGGATATTTTTAATCTGGCTTTTAAAAGAAAGCATAATGCTTTTTTAAAAAAATGTATCTGTGCTATTGCATGTGAAAATCATTTTTTCTCGTTACTGAATAGTATTCCTTTGTGTGATTGTAGCATAATTCATCTATTCTGCTGAAGAGCATTTGGGTTACTTCTAGTATTTGGCTATGAATATTCTTGTTTAAGTGTATTTATGGACAAGTTCCCATTAATCTTTTTAAAAAACATTATTGTGCCTAGAGAGATGACCCAGTGGTTAAGAGCACTGGCTGTCCTGGCAGAAGACCCAAGTTTGAATCCCAGCACCTACATGGTAGCTAACACCATCTGTAACTCCAGTTCCAGGGCATCCAATGCCCTCTTGTGTTCTCCTCAGGCACATAGGTGCATTTATATACATGTAGGCATAACATTCATACACATAAAAGTTAAAAGAAAAAAATTTTTTTTTTGGTCTTTTTGAAGCAGGGTTTCCTTGTAGCCCCAGCTGCCCTGGAGCTCACTACATAGACCAGGCTGGCCTTGAACTCACAGAGATCCACCTGCCTCTGCCTCCCGAGTGCTGGGATTAAAGGCATGCGTCACCACGTTGGCCCAAAAGTTAAAAAATTTAAAAATATTTTTTAATTTATTTTTATTTATAGGGCTGGAGAGATGGTTCAGCAGTTAAAAGCACTAGCTGCTGTTGCAGAGGACCCGGGTTCAATTCCCAGCACCCACATGGTGGCTAACAACTGTCCTAGCTCCAGTTCCAGGGGATCTGTTGCCCTCTTCTGTTCTCCACAGGCATTGCATGACATGGGTGCACTTACATAATATGCAGCCAATGCATTCACATAAAATAAAAATAAACTATTTAAAATTTTTTATTTTATCTATGTCGGTGTATTTCCTGCATGTACCTGTGTGTACAGTTCCCTCAGAGGTTTTCCTTTTTAATTCCCTGGAAATTTTAAGTCATACTGGGACTTTTGGAAAGCTGTAGAGTCCCTCTCACAAACCATATGGATTTGCTGTTCTGTGAAATCCTGTCATTTTATAGAAACTGGTGTGATTAAACTTCTACCTGTAAGATGATTGATTTTTATAAATTTCATGTTACTAATTTTATCTAGGCATTGCACAATTCTCTGAAGTAGTCTTTTATTAACTTTTTCTTCGGTTTGGTAATTTCCCCATGTTATTTCACTCCCTTTTTCCCTCTCCCTCCCTTTTAATTTTTTTCTCTTCCTCTTTTCTGCTCTTTCTCCTTTTCCTCCTTTGTCTTAGATTTGTTAATTCCTTTTTTCTTAGAACTTTGTCTGATTTCTACATATTTTTCCAAGTGCCAGCATTTTAATTTGTCATTGCTGAAGGTGGTGGTGACAAACCCTCGTGTGCTGTCATATCAGTTATTAGATTCTCTCTGAGAACTGTCTTGTGTTTTGCAGGCTAGAGTTGAGGGTAGGGATGGATGCTATTAGGGAACTGAACTCCCTAGTGTTAATGGTGATAATAGAACTTTAAGATGTCAGAGGCCAGGTTCCAGCTCCTGGTCATCAGAGTTCATAGTGTTTTGTGTCCTGACTCTGCCATAAACATAGGCTAGGTATAGTTTTCCCCTTCTTTCTGCCCATTTCAACCTAAATGACTTTTGTAGGATGTGCAGATTTAGACTTGGGCAACTACTGTTATCTCATGGGTTCTTCAAGTGTCATTTGTAACAGTAAAATGTTGAAGTACTTATGGAAGATCCTGCCGGTAGCTTTACTTCTACCACGTAAGTGTATGATTCCGCTTCCAGCTGTGGTGTCTGCACTTCGCCTGGGCACTTTGTTTTGCTGCTTGAGAAGAGTTTTCCACTCACACAGCAGTGGAAGTGCTAGGAAAGCCATACCACTTCCTGTAGGGCAGCTCTATCCTATAGTGGACAAGGCTTTGTGTCTGAACTCCCCCGCTTCTGGATGAGACAACTCTTGAGTCGTGAGGTTCATGCTGGGGCCGAGTCTGACCAGCAGCATTAAGGTCCAGAATCCAGATCATAACTGGCCCTGTGCTGACTGTTGTTCTTTGTCTCTTTTCTGTACTCCCCCACCAGCATTTTCCTCATCTCAGCACATTCTTTGCATTCAGATCTTGTCACAGGATCTGCTTCTGGGGAAATCCACCCTGATTTAGAATTCCTC